TCTCAAAAAAAAAAAAAAACTTTCTTTTTTAGATGAATTAAAATTATTACTGACAATATATGTTAGGACAGACCAATGTCTTATACGTTAGGACAGGCCAATGCTTTACAATATTGGAACATATATATATATGTATGTGTGTGTGTGTATATATAAAACCACAACCCATATAAAATTAATCACCATTTCATATTTGACAATGTTTCCTATATATTTTTAATAAATCAAATAAGTTCAATTTGTTTTTTTATGCCTTTCAGTGGTCTTAATATTTCAAAAAGACTAAATTTAGAGTTGTGCTTTTTGTTTTCTAGACCAAGTTCAAACCCACCGGCCTCAGTGCATGTGGCCAGTGCTGCAACCACTGCACTATGGGCACCAAGCCCCAAATTTAGAGTTTTGATTTTGGAAGGTTTGTCAAATATCAATAGGCCTAAAACATTGGTTCAAATAAGATTACATGCCGAAAGATTTTAAAGGAAATACACAATCAACTGGATCACATGTAAATTCTTTCATAAATTCTCTTTTAATGAGCTTCACTTAACCTGCACAGACAATCTACAAACATTCTAAATCTTCTTTAACTTTGCCCTGCCTTTTGCTTTCTTGTACAACCATTCTTTTTCAGGACAAAAATTATCACAAAAGATTCTTTCTTTACACTATGCCATTCTCCTTTCTGTCTAATTTCTCTTACTCTCAAAAACTCACTTCCTACAAAACAGAATCTCGGTTCACTATGAAGTTGCCCGTTCACTTGACCAAACTGATAATTAGAAGGTTTAAAAAGCAAGAATCTTGTCCTTTGACAAAGACCCAGTTTCCCCAACAATTTAAACAACCAAATGATTACATTTTACAAGTAAGAGGCATTTTATGAGATATAACATTGATATAGGATTTTCCCACTCAGGGCTGGACAGGGAACCCCCATTTTTCAGGACTGAGGTGAGCTCAGATATCAGACTCCCGTCTCCAGGTACAAACCCTCTGAGCCCCAGCCAGGTCATGAACAAGCAGCCTGAAACTTTTTGGCTGGGTCCACCCAGACTAAGGAGCACACACCCTAATTCTCTCCCTAGACAAAAACTGCTGCAAAGACCTAATAATCTTGCCCAAGGTGAGGGGTTGCATTCATTCATTTGCCAGAACAAGGTATTTTTAAAGGTATTTTTCCATCTACCAAGTCCTGGCCAAAATATCTCTCAGGGCCAACTATTTACCCCTAGACAAAGGACTCATACAGGAAACCTCCAAAATGGGCCTCCTCCCCCCTTCCAGGGGCTATCCCCTTGGAGACCTTTTGCTGATATTGATATAGCTCCACAAAACATGAGATTTACACTCCCTCCTGCAGATTTTCAAGGGCCATCCAGAGCTCACCAGACTGCTCGAACCACAACACTTTCCAAGGCATGGCCCCTCTGCCAGTAGCTCTGGCACTCCACTCCATCTGCATGCCCCTCAGTTCAACAAAATCCCATTTTATCACTGATCTGTGGCCCGCAGGCTCAATTCTCAAATTCCTGAGACCAAAGACTCACTGAAGAAATTCCAGTAACAAAACTACAAAATCCTTTCTAATGTCTTTTCATCCCCCCTCCCCCCACCGTGGACATGGCCATGTGGCCGCAGCCAAAGACAGAAAGCGGAAAACGGTTCATCCCGTGAATGGAGGGGGGGGGAACGAAACCCCACCTATTGTTACCCATCTCAGTCATTCTCCAAGCACTCACATGCACACAATCCCAACACATTTCTTAACCTGGGCAGCCTCGATTTCCCACTCGAGCTGCCACTTAGCCATAGGAGGCAAACCAACACTCCCTTAGGCCCTGTGATGGGAGGCCCAACTACACTCTAAGAGTTCTCTCAGTCACACCATATCCACACACTCTCACACACCTCTCAATAGACCTGCGGGCGATCTAACACCCAAGGGGTTGATCAGACTCCCTCTTTCACTTAAACTGTAGTGGGTCCCAAATGGATCCTATCTTGCCTTAGATGTCTCCCTGTGTAGGTACCTGTTCCTGCATGCCAGTTCCTCCTGGTGTTTGACTCCTTGAAGACCCACTGATGGGGTCCTTTCTCAGCCCAGTCGAGGTGTCCACACAGGGAGGCCTAACTGCCTCCCTGGCACACTCAGTGGTTCATGTCAACCAGGCTGATCAGGGGCCCCAATGTGAGTGTCCAGAGTTTGGGTGGCAACTACCAGGTGCATGTTCTCTCCAAGGGTGATCTCACTTCCCGGTCAGGGAACCAAAAATGTTGCAGGAAGATGAGGCCCAACGGAGAGAAAGAGAACCCAAACACCACATTTATAAGAGGAAGGGCTTTATTCATTGGCCGGGAGCTTACAGCATAGAAGATTTCCAAATGGCTGTGCTCCCCGACTGGCTTGGTCTTTCCATTTTTTTTTTTTTAAGAGACAGAGTCTCACTTTGTCACCCTTGGTAGAGTGCTATGGCATCACAGCTCACAGCAACCTCCAGCTCTTGGGCTTAGGCAATTCTCTTGCCTCAGCTTCCCGAGTAGCTGGGACTACAGGCACCTGCCACAATGCCTGGCTATATTTTTGTTGCAGTTTGGCCGGGGCTGGGTTTGAACCCACCACCCTCGGTATATGGGGCCAGCGCCCTACTCACTGAGCTACAGGCGCCACAGAGTTTTTCCCTTTTTATTGACAGTCAAAAAGTTCCACCCCACAAGTACCCTTCTCCCTGGCCAGTTTGAATCAAGTGGGAGATGCTACTCCAGCCCCTACAGAACAACAGGATTTCACAGAACTTGGAAATTTCCAGGTTCCAGGAAGTCAAGCCCACAAATTCCCAAGAGCTGAGTCACCATGGAGAGGGCCTTGCAGGTGCATCCCTGCGGTCTCCTTGAGAAGACCTGTTCTCCCAGATTGTGGCCCTCTCCGGTATCCTCTCTTAACACCATGGCATTCTACCAAGGGTGACCAAGTGAAACTCTGTCTCTTCCTCCCCCCCCCCAATCTTTTATTATGACTAGATGTGGTGGTGTACACCTGTAGTCCTGGCTACTCAGGAGGCTGACTCAGGAGGATCACCTGAGCCTAGTGATCAACCTGACCTTAAAAAGAAAAAAGAAAAGAAAAGAAAGAAATAGAAAGAATTTCTTTTATTCTGAACACTTTTGGATCAAATAACAGAATAAACACAAGCATAAATATGTATGATATATTTGCAGAAGGTCCTCTCAAGGTTGTTGTTTCTTCCCCTTGAGGAACTCTTTCCCACTTTGTTCATCTGGGTGGCTCCTTGTCGTCCTCAGGTCTTGACTTAAATATCCCTCAAGGTGGCTTGGCCTGACAACCCAGTCCAATTAGTTCTCTACCCCTTTCTTCAGCCCTGCACAGTGTCTAGCTATTTTTAGAGATGAGGTCGCGCTCTAGCTCGGGCTGGTCTGGAACTCCTGAGCTTAGACTGTTGGCCCGCCTGGGCCTCCCAGAGTGCTGGGATTACAGGCATGACCCACCACGCCCAGGCCTTATCTATTGGGTTTAGACATTCAATTTCCTTAGATGTAAGACTCATGGGCAGGGACCTTGTTTGTTTGTTTTTCACTTTTGTATTCCTAGTGCCTCCTACATGCCTGACATGTAGTAGATGTCCCATAATTATTTGCTTGCTGACTGGTGAATATTTCTTTGTTTCACTTACATTTGTTCTTTCCATTTGTATTTTAATTATTCCTACTGCTCGGTAACTCTCAAGAAGTAGGGAAAAAAGGCTCGGCGCCTATAGCTCAACCGGCTAAGGCGCCAGCCACGTACACCTAAGGTGGCGGGTTCGAATCCCCAGCCCGGACCCGCCAAACA